GGTCTAGAATTTGGGCTATTTGTTATTGCTAGGTTTCGGAAATTACGTGGGACTAATGATAATGGATGGTTTTGTGGTAGGGGTGGCAACAGTGGTGCGGTAGGTGTTACTTCTATATTATTGTGTTCTTCGTCGTAAGTGTTCTGTCTTGTCGCTATTTTCGTGTTATATTCTTTTATTTGTGCGTCTAGAAGTATTTTGTTTATTGATGATGAAAAAATTCCTAAAAATCCTGCAAACAGTATGCGTGCTTCACTTGCTTGTCTGTTTACTTGTGTGTGTATAGCGCATGTGTTATAGATTCCTTTTAAGAGTGAGAAAAGAAATTTTGTAAAGTTAAACATTGCGTATAAGATAGTTAATTTTTCTAAGATGTAGTAGGGACAACCTAGAAAAGCTAGAATTTCATTTTTTAGGGTAACAAAACTGAAAATATTTATAGGTGAAATATCTTGTGGCCTGTATTTTTCGCCGTTTAAATATATTCATCTTTAATGTCTTTAAAATATCCGCAATATACTTGTGTATAAATATCTGCAAAACCTGCGGTTTTGGCAAGTTTTCTTAAATTTTGGTCAATTGACTGTCTTTGTATAGTGTCCATTTGTGTTAATAATTCATGAAATTGTTGTGTTCTAATGTGATGTTGGATATCTGATTTAGATTATATTCCAATTGATTGTAAATCAATATTTGGATTACGAGCAATAGCTCTGATGCTTTCGGGTGAAATTTTTTTGAGTGGTTGCATTAACGTAGGGCAAGGAGTAAGGAGATAATATTTATCTTCATCAGGATTCAATTGTACTACATTGTGGCTATTTTCTGATCCACATGTGACTGCGGCGGTATCCCAAAAGTATGTTCGTCTTGAAAGTGTGTCAACAAAATGTACTTTATTCTTATAGAATATAGGGATTATTTTATAACAACGTTTATCTTCAAAAACATATAGTGGTGATACTTTTTTGGTACAAGTATAAAACCATAAAATATTTCCATCGTAGTCTAGAAAATTTGATCTATTTCCTGACAATAAATATCCTGCGTAGGGTATTTTTAAAACTGCTAGTGCGAGTGATTAGAGGATTTGTGTCCTTTCTAATTCGCATAATTGATGAAGTGTTTCTAATTCGGAGAGTGACATTTCTTGAAAAATTCGACTAATTGTGTAGTCTAACTTCATATCTAAGTGAATATCATAATGGATATTACCAAAGTGCTTTTTTGTGCTTTTTTGAAAGTTAACTGGTATGTATTATGTTCCTTCGTTTAGAGGGTGACCTGTGGCATAAGGGTCAAATTTTATTTTTCCAGTGGTCATGTCGAAACCCTTTTCGTATTCGACTAGCATTTCAGAATATAGTGTTTTGTAAAGTGGGTTTCTGTATTTGCATGCAATTTCTGTTTCTTGATATATTTGGAAACGTGTTAATTTATTTTCTATTTTATGAATATTTCTAAAATCAGTACTTTGTTTTCGGGATGGATTTACTTGTTCGTATGGAATTGATTATATAAAATATTTTTATTCGAGCGTGTATTTTTGCTTCTTGAATTGTTGTGCATGTATCTTTGGGAAACCAAACAATCGTTGCTTGTGTCCGTGTTGTAGGGTCACAATAACCTTGATCGTTTTTGCAAAATAATCGGGTTCCTTAATAGATCATTGTGTTGTCTGATAAATCTCGTGTGAGTTGTACTTTTTCGAGTTGTATTTTCCAATCGAAAAACATTAATTCTTGATATCCTTTATTTTTTGTGTCCGCTTTGCAGTTTGAGGGGTTATTTATTCCAATGAGTGGTATCCAGTGTTTATCATGTATGTCATAAGTTAATCTTCCGTGTGCGCCGTTGTATGGGTATTTTTTGTCTAGTCTTTTATGTCCTTGATATCTTTCAAGTTCTGCTTGATGTACTGAATCGGCAAAGACTTGAAAACTTACTATTTTTCTGTCTATGTTTTTATTTTTTGTGATGTTTTGTCTGAGTAGTTCGTTTTTACAATCATCGGGATTTAGATGTAGAAGTCGTTCTATATTACTTTGATAGAATGATTCGTGATCAAGTCGGTTTTTATTTCCGTTTGAAACTTGTGAACAATGTACTTTCTTTTCGGAAAATGTTGCTGTGAATTTATATCCTGTGACTGTTGTTGCTCGGGCTTTTGAATATAGTGTCGCTATTACATTTGTAGTTTCTATAGCTTGTGGTTCTGTTTCGCATTGTGATACTTGATTTATTGCATATTTGTGTAGTGTTTTTTTTGTTCGTTTTCTTCAGAATTGTAGTGTGTTACTAATAAATCCTGGGGTCCTGTGCGAGGAGAAGAATTTGTATTCTGGTCAGAAAATATTAGAAAAAAGAGGTGTTGAAATGTTAATATTTTTGGAATATACATGTGTATGATAATCCTGAGTATGGATTATAAAATGTGATGTAACCAATTGTGTTTTTGGTATATCTATCGTACTTATATATTACTTCAGTTTATAAATGTTGGTGGTAGCGATTGAGCTGTTATATTTGGTGGGTTTAATGGGTAAGGAAGTTGAACAATATTATTAAGTTTGATCGTGATTTCGAATTTTAATTGGAGGCTATTTTGGATATCTTTCTACGTTGTAGTCTATTGAGTGCCCAACTGTGGAGTCGGTTACTATCTTGATGTTGTCCAAATAATGGTGGGGGTGCTACAAATGTATTCCAATCTAGTCGTAAAGGGATATTTGTTGATGATTGTTCTCGATATCTAGCGTCGAGGTTATTTGGGAAATTTAAAGGGAAAAGCGTCGGTGAAATCTGGCTTAATGATGGTGTTGACGGTAGTGACAATGTTTCTGGTAGTGATGATGATGTTAATGTATCTGTAGAAATGTCTATTGAGTCGTTTACTAAATTTGGTTCACCTTGTGTATATGAGTGCGTTGTCCAATATAATAATTGTGAAGGAGTTCCAATTGATTTTCATATATATGTGATGTAAAAGGTTGTTCATATATGATAGGTTCATAATCGTTTTCGAATTTTATCATATTTATAGAGATGGTATTTTCTGTATCATTTTCTGTATCTGACGATTCACAATTTATATGATTTAGTTGTAGTTCGTTTTTTCTTGTGTCATCAATACCTGGAGGGTCTGATTTTGTTTCTTCATTTGTCTGCACTTGATTAATGTGTCTTTGATGTTTTAGTGTGCTACTTCTGTATCTATGTTTAGAATCATGATAATGGTTATTATTCCTGTGTGGTGACTGGGAATAATTTCTATATCGATTATTGTAACTTGAGTTTTGATTTTGTGAATTGTTTTGTGATCTGTTTTGATAATTATCATTTGATCTGTGATAATATAATCTACTATATGAATTATTTCTTGATCGATTGTTCGGGTAATTCTGATTTCGATTGTTCGAGTAACTTCTATTTCTATTATGTGAATAGTTTCTATTTCTGTTGTATGATGAGTATCGTGATTGATTATTGGAATAGTGTCTATTCCTTTGGTTTGATTAGGAACTGGATCCAGAAACAAACTGTGTTGTATTGGAATTTGATCGTGAATAGTTATTTTGATTATTTTGGCTATTCGATCAATTATAATTATTTTGTGAAGAATTTCGTGTATTTCTTCGTTCTGCTGATCTTCCTCTATAACTTGAGTTATATGGTGATTGATTCCTTTTGTAATTGGTAGTGTTCGGAAGTGTTTTTCCTGAACTGTTGTTACTATATATATTTTTGTTTGGTAGATTTTGATCTTTTTTCATGTATTGATAGAACGATTTATTTGGTTCATTATGCTTTTGAGGTTTATTCTGATTGTCTTGTTGTTTTTGTCTACATTCGGAAATACTGTGTCCGTATCGTCGGCAATAATTACACCATTTTTTGAAGGATGGTTTGCCTTTGAAGTTTGGATGTTTTTCAAAGATATTTAGTATTTCAGTGATTTTTTCAATCAGGTCTGTTTCTGATTCCTGTATGTTATTTATATGTGTAGTGTTTGTTTCAATTCGATTAACATATTGTAGTTTTAGAATTTCTGTTTCTTCGAGTTTCATTGTGATTTCTGTTTGTTCTAATTTATCTACTAGGTTTCGAAAATCTAAGTCTTTTTCTCGAATTGAGGAAGGATGAGATGCTCTCTTTTTGATCGCTATTTTCCTTAATTGAGTTGTTAAGGTCATCATTAAAATTTCAGTCATAGAATCTTAAGGTCGTGAGTTCGAGCCTCACTGGTCGCACCAGATGAGTTATGACCGATGTGGTTAACTCATAGAGTATTTTCGGATAGGGTACACCGTCTGCTCGTCACGCTATCTTATTTTCGGCTGGATAGATTCGTGCAACTTCTTAGTCTAATACTGATCCTAATCTTACTCTTATACTTACTAGTCTCAGGGTGTTTAACTAGTCTCTGCAAGGCTCAATAGATCTAGGGTATACTGGTTTGTTGCGGCTGCTGAAGTTCACTTGGAGAGGCAACTAATTTCTAAGTTAAATTCAAATCTCTCTGGTGCTGAAATTACAAGTAATTTCAGCACTTACAAATAAGTGGGTTGTTAGTTAGATGGATTATGATTGGTTAATATTACATTTTTTACAGTGGTAAAATATCCAATTTATCCAATTATAAAATGTAGTTTAGATCAGGTTCCAAAAGCTTGCAAAAGCTTATGATCTTTTATCTATATGCTATTATATACAGGGCCCTTATATGATCTTTTATCTGTATTCTATTATATACAATAATGACGTCAGTAAAATGAAGTGGAAGCTATTATTTGCATTAGATCATAGGTTAAATGTTGTTGTTAATATATTATATATAGGTTAGCGCCTCTAACCCCTGTCCTACCATGAAATTTTATTGGAAACCTTGAAAATTTTCTGATTTACAAAATTGAACTTTTTATTTTTCGAGATATAGTTATGGATGGAATTTTCTGCGCCACTTGCGCAGCAGTCGTCTATTTTCGTTCTAAAAAACAATGTGAATTGAACTGAAGTTTTTAAACTCGAATTAGAATGATTTGTCTTTTCTAGTCGGCCGCGAACAATTTTTTTTATTTTGATACCAGATCCATCAATTTCCGTCTCAATAGTTTCCCAGTTGCATTTCGAGGCAGATTTTCCATGAAGTAAACTCCTCCTTTCAGCTGCTTGTATGGGGCCACTCTCTCCTTCACATACAGCATAACTTCTGTTTCCGAGACTGTTTTGTCTTTGCCCAGGACAACGAAAGCAGTCGGTAGTTCCCCGGCATCTTCGTCTGGTTTTCCGGCTACTGCTGCATCCACGATTGCCGGATGTGTGAGTAACAGGTCTTCTAACTCTGCAGGAGGAACCTGTTCGCAAAACATAAAAACTGTTCCCCTAAAACTTCTCAAAATAATCTATAATAATTTATTTCAGAATGTCTCACTCTTAATATGATTGTCTCACCTGGTATCCCTTGTATTTGACCAGTTCCTTGAGTCTGTCTGTGATCCACAGATATCCCTCCTCGTTGAAGTACCCAATGTCCCCTGTCCTCACCCACCCTCCCCCCACCAATGTATCAGCTGTTTCTTTGTCCCGGTGCAGATAGCTGTGCATGGAGGTGGGTGACTTCAACCAGATCTCGCCCTCAATGATAAATAATTTTACTGATCGAGCGATGAGAATTAATTTAAATAGTTTTTGCTAATTTTTTTTCGCAATAGACTTTCCAGAAGTTTTGACAATTGGCACTGTTTTGCTGCGTGGATTTTTGGCAACCAAACAATTAGAAGGGCGGTCTGCGCGATATTTGTTCTGAGCGCTCTTTGTGCTTTCTGAGGTTTTAAGAGAAGTCAGGAAAAAATGAACAAAAGTTTATAAAAAAAAAATGCTCACAGAATGAGATAAAAAAGATTAAATTGGGTGGGAGAAATTTGTTGTATTGATTTCAGACTTACCTCTGTATTGACAGGGACCGTTTGTAGCGTCTCCAGATCCACAACTTTGGCCTCCCCATCCATCGACACCTGTCCCACGCTCCCCGACAACACAAACTCTAGGGGCGCATCGGGGGGCATAGAAGTTCCACCTAACACAATGATGCAATACTTAATGATTCATGAATTTTATTTATTTGTGATATGAGAGTGGTATTCGTTTAGAAGTATGGTCCCGTTAAAAACCTCTTTCAGAAGTATGGTCCCATAAAACTACCAATATTCCTATGTAAAAGTCAGACATAAAAGTTTTTAAAGGAAATTAAGTTTTGACAGTCAATTGATATTTTTGATAGTTCCATTTAAAAAAAAATTTTGTGGGAAATCAAACGAAGAAAAATTTACAATTTTTCCTTTAGTTTTCATCCACTTGAAGTACTTCAGTATAAATCAAGTGATCTGGCGGGACCACACTTCTGAACGAGCTTTTGAATGAAACTCATCAACAACGGCGGGACCATACTTCTAAACTAGTATCAGGAGATTGACTGTGTTTGTTGCAATCATAAAGCAAATTGACTAAACGTTGTTTTAAAAACATTTCAGAATGGAGAACCTTATAGCAAAATTCTTTCACATACCTGCCTCAGTCATGCCATACGCCTGTGAAAACAAAGGAGGACTGTCTTTATTCAAACTCTCCAGAAGGGTCTTCAGCTGCTCTTTGGGCAGCGGCGCAGTTCCGCATAAGATATACTTCACATAAGTCAAATCATACTGCTTAGTGGCGGGATCCTTCGCCATTTGAACGACAATCGCTGGAAGAAGAAACAATCTGCTCGCTTTATATTCAGCTACACATTCTAGCATTTGAGTAAAATTGAACCGTTTTTGCATCAGAGCGTGACCTCCGGAAAATGGCGCCATCATGGCTGTGACTACGAAGCCATAGATGTGGAACATAGGCGGTACAGTAAAATAGGTAGGCCTAGCATACTGGGCCATAATCTGGTTATAAATTATAAAGGCTTTAATGTATGCCCGCATTGATGAATGCTTCATAACTACACCTTTAGCGGTTCCCGTAGTACCGCTGCTATAAGGAAGAATCGCGGTATCTTTCTTCCAATCCCAAATGAGTTTAGGGATTTCAGCATTCTTGTTTCCGCAAAAATCAACTAGTTTGCAGATCTTTAATTGCGGGTTCGAAACACAAACTTCATCCAGGTATTTTTGATCATCTACTTCAGTTAAAAGCACAATTCTGTTCACATTTGTTCCTTCGCAAGCCTTGATGGCTTTTTGAATGAAAACTTTATCGCCAGGAATAAACAAAAGCTTCGAGTTCGAGTCGTTGATTTGGTGGTTCATTTCATAATACGAGTAAAGCGCATTACATAACATTACCGTAAGTCCTGCAATCGTTGAACCATATAACGCCATCACGAACTCGGGTATGTTATAACTGCATATACATGCAACATCCCCTTTTTGATAATCAAATTGGGCAAAAATAGCATCTCCAAGAGATATTGAAGCCGCTCTAAGTTCGCCGTTTGTAACCTGACGTTTTGATGGTATTTCAGTGTACAGAGCGCCAGTTTCATTTTCAGCGAGCTCATCGAGAATTATTTCGACATATGTTTTATCCGGAACTTCAATATTGGGTGACTTTGGACCAACAAAATGGGCAAGTTTTTTGGCTTCAATTTCACCCATGGTATCAATTTGGGGGTTTTCAGATAGTGACCTGGGAAAATACAAAAGTGGTTCAGCTTATAGTGAACTGTGAGTTTCAGTCATTAACTAAATTGAACTCGAACTTTGATTCTGTGCAGATTGGTCAAATTGGACCTTATCAGAAGTATTGTGCTACGCCATTCTGAAGTTTGTTTGACAAGTTGTTGGAAATGTAAACTCTGCAACTTAGCTATGCAACTCTAATGGCAACTACTTCTCCAAACAGAAGCATTTGTAAACTTTGTGGGCCAACAAACTTTTGCAGATCACTCAATTAAATTTTTCAAATTCTTCTTCTTGAAGGCAAGCTCAGCAATTTTCAAGTTATTAAAAATTCAAGAGTTTTGTTCCACAATGAATTTTTTGAAAAATAACACAATTTTCTCTCATGGCAATGATCATCGGTTTATGTTGCTTAGAATTGGAGTGCAGTCTGTAAATAGAAAACCGCGATTTCATATTCGTCAGTAAGTATAAAAACACTATAATAATCAGAATTTTCAGAATTGAGATAGGATACAGAATGAACCCAAGAAAATAAGGAATCACACATAGAAAAATTAATTGTTTTCAAGCTAGTATGCCAGTAATGATTGTTATAAAACCGCATTACAACCATTAAACCTTATTCTGAGAGACAGTCATGAGAACTTCTGGTCCGTTTCCAGACTTTTCTGGGAAGAAAAATTAAATAATTTTCTCAGTTTTTTTCTACGATTTTTATCGGTATCGACCAAAACGCAAAAACTCAAAAAGGTACGAGCCTTTTCAAAAAAAAATATAAAAGAAGTAATATAAAAATTAATCTGTTCAGATGTTATAATTATACTTGCGATTAGCAAGCGTTATCAAAACAGAACATAGACATTTTTTGGGTTACCAACTTGTTGTACAGAATCACTTGAATCACTTGTATCTTGGTTTATAATCAATTCAAAACATCCATACGTTCCCGGGCATTTTAGCGTGCAGTTAACTATTATGCCTGGGGCGGCAAAGGTCCTGGGTTGGAATCTAAACAAAATCTGTTTCTTTTTTCTCGGGAAAAATGATGGTCTCAAAGTTTTTTTCATTTTTCTCACAAATTTTGACAGAGAAACAATTAAGGTTTTGGGCGAAGTCCAAAATAAGAAATCAACATTTTTCATGCCGCATCAGTATACCATTTTCAATCAATAGCAGACGCCTACCTCCAGCTTCAGCTGAGCCCAATATTTTTTATCGAGACATAAGAAAGTTGTAGCTCACCTGGTTTCTTTTCAACATTTAAAAAAGTTTTGCCAACTTAAGTTTTTTATGTTTATGTTGTATCGCAAGTGGTGCAAACCTTCGCTTCGCCTGTGTAAAAGTTAAAGCTCTATATTATGTTTAATAGATTTCATTGTTCAAAAAAAAATTATCTGAGAAAATTGGTTCTTTCTGTTTGAGGCTGTTTCAGATTTTTTTGGGGTAAACTCCCATTTATAAAAAAAGTTTATTCCAGAGTTAAAGGCGCAAATGAACAATCATCTTATTTTAAAATGCAGTGAGTTTTTTTAGTTGATTCTATGTTTTGATACATTACTTAGGTCCTCTTCAGTTTTTACGTTGCGTAAAGTATCTACTGGGCAAATTTTTTGGTTTATTTTATTTAATGTTTTAAAAAATTCACAAATGTTTTTCTGATTTCACTTCTGATTGATGAATCACTGAATCTTAACTCCTAAATTTAAATTGCTGCCGAAGCTTACATAGATTCTGATTGAAATTGAGTCATATTGGGTAGAATAATGTGAACATAAAGCTTTTTCTGTGAACTCGCTGTTTCTACTCTATGAAAAATGCAGGGTAAAATAAAATTATATGCAGTTAATTTTTCATTAAGCATATAAAATAAGCCAACTGAAAAAGAAGACAAAAAAATAATTTCATGTGTATATTTAATATGTATTTGATTTATCACGATGTTTCCGATGTTTTTTGTTACCGCTTTTGCCACTTATATTCAAACTATTACAACAGTTGAGTTAGTTTAGGTTATAAAAATCAAATAGCTACAAAACTTTTTCATTTGTATTTTTTAGCATAGATGTACATGATTTGATTCAACTAAAGTTTATATGAACTCTGTTAAACTAGACGTATAACTGAAATCTAAAATCTATGTGAAATCTAGCAATCTAGAGATTTATCAACAGCTGATTAGAGATCAAATAATTTGAACCTTAAAATTGCAAGAAGAGAATAAAATTTCAACAATAATGAAAAAAACCTGAATCAACTTGTTAAAAATTCCGTTTATTAATTATCAATTCCAAAAAAAGGAAAACAAAATTTAAATTACAAAGTATATGGAGCTTTTCAAATTTGCTAAGCACTGGAAAAAACTATCAATGAATATCAGCTTTATCAAAAACAAAAACGTTCCTATCAGTGCAAGATCCTTAATGTTTCGACTGCCCTTCAGTGTGTTTTAGGAAACGTTGGAATCAAAATCTCAATAACGAGTTACAAAAACTGTCGAAAAAAGTTCAAAATTACTTTTTTGTTCATCTTCTCCCACCTCTAATGTAAAAAACATACTGAAGTATTCTGCGTCTACGAACTATTTTTTTTGGATTAATCAACTACCTTACTTTAATTTGGAGTGATTTCTCAGGTTTGGATTGATTTCACAGGATTAATCACTATTGGGCCCAAATCATATTAAGAGCAAATAATGGAAAAAAAAAGTTTCGTTCACACAAAACTTTTACATGAGTAACATGGATAGCCGGTTACTGTGCAAGTAGCACAGAATGTTCCGACCGCAATCTTAGAAAAGTACAAAAATATTTTTTCAAGTTGGTTGTTTTTTTCCTGCATGTGAAAAAAAGTCTGATCGAAAAATTAGAACTTAGACACTTTTGAGAGTCATAGTAAAATACGTCAATTGGAAAAAAAATTTTGAAATTTTTTTTGCGGAAATTTTTTGAGTGTTCAAGTTTTTGATACCCAAAATTGCGCTTACAAAACTTGAATAAAACTAGGTTTTCACAGCTTAGATTAAACTTAAATAAACTATTGCAATTACTAACTACCTTTCTAATTAGCTCGAATTTAATCAAAAATCAAAATTTTGAAACCGGTTTTTTTCAACACTGAAAACTTTTTTTTTCGAAATTTTTCCAATCCCGACTGAAAGGGCTTTAATATGATCTATCACTCCCCCTGTACGATGATTATTTGTGGTAGCTGACTTTGCAGGAAAAATAAACAAAAAAACTAAAACACCCGAATACAAAGTTCCCACCCATTTTCAGGTCGGAACAATAATTTAAACAAAAAATCATTCTGCTTGATTCAATTGAAAGGTTTGAATGCTTTTAAGTATTCAGTTTCAATCAGTTCCTTCGTTGAGTTTTAGCATCATATTTCGTTAAATTTAGACTAAACTCTATTTTAAGCATAGAAATCGGATTATACTACACTGGAACACAATATATTCTTTTAACTTTTTGCAAAAAAATTGGCTATGCAGTAGGTAGTTTTTTTGGCTTCAAAAAATTGCCGCTTTTTAAAACCTTCTGAAAAAGATTTGAGTTTTAACACGCTTCAAAGAGTCCACATTAGCATTAGCCAGAGATTTTCATACTCAAACCGCTAAAGTTTATAACAAAAATGTAAGTACAAATTTTTTTAAATTCGAGCTCAGGGCAGTAATATCTTTTAGATGTTCAAAAATTCAAAAAGTTTTTGAGAAACTTTAGCCAGAGCCTTCCTTATCCTCCAGTATCCGTACATCAATTTGCAACTACAATCATATATCAATTTGCAAATACATTACTTGTATGCAATCATTATCAACAGATATAATGTGGTCACAAAATCATCGAATCCTTGAATGTGATCGCTGCTTTCAGCCATTATTTGATTTCCAAAGAGAAAAAAAGGATGCTATTCTAGTGTTGAGAAAGTTTATGAACGTTTTGGCAGTCATTTGGATTATTAATAAATCAACAAAAACCAGTAGTTTAGTTTAAAAAAAGATTGGCAAAAGTTTGTGAAAAAAAAACAGACAACATGAGATTTTTACTTCGAAAAATGCAGAAGGAACACTATGTGCTAGTTTTGCAGTTTCAGGATACTCATTGTTTTTTTAATGAGAAATGTTCTATTCATCAAATTTATTAAATTGTTGTGACAAATGAAGTGGCTTATATAATTTGATTTATATTTTTATATGGAATAGTTAGCTCCCGCATTAGTTCGTTGGATGCCGATTTGATATCATTAACTCAGTAGCAGTTCCTACTTCCTTTTAACGAATAATCTTGACTCGCTCGGTGTCGTCTATCCTCGGAACAGGTCTCCCAGTATTGTCTCGTAATTGACGAACTTCACGACTTCGTCTTGACTTGCACCGAGCCACTCAGCATCGAACTTAACGAAAAATGAGTCATAAAATTCAGTTTTTTAATCAAATTATTACTGGATTTCTGGAAAGCAAAAAGGTCTTTCTGACAAGTTTTTGAAATGGATCACTGAAGTAATCGCTCTAATATTGACTTCGTTCTTAATATTTAGTCAATGGTTGTTTTGTGTTACAATTCTGATTTAAATCAAATCATTTTTGAAAAACTAAGAGCTTTAAGTAGAAGTTTTTTAAATAAAATTGCAGGTGTGAGTGGAGGAGGGAACGGGAGGAGATGTGTTTACCCGGAGTACTGAGGGGATGTTGCATGAGATGGGCACTGGGTAGTCCCTCCAGTTGATCTCCTGCAGGAACTGCATGTAATCCACAATACCGGCAGAGTCCGCTAGTCTACACAAAGAAAATCACTTCATTACCAATTCTGTCTTTTGCTTTTCAAATACATGTTGGAACGAATATTGTTTTCATAGCTCGTGGACTGATGGCGATTTGATGAGATACGATGCAATACCTGGAGATGAAGTGTGACAGGAGGTCTACTGGAATCCGGATGTGCATGGCAAGGCAGCTCTTCCTCACGTCGGCAGCATGCAACTTCCCAGTTCTGAAAATAGATCAGATTTGAATGAAACGATTTCTTATAACTTACATATTTATATTTTTTCATTTTGGATGGTTAGTTTTGCAAAAAAAATTACGTATTTGACGCACATTTTTCCTGATAACTGCACATTATCTGGTCATTTTCTAGACAATAAGGTTAAAAATTTCCCATAGTTAATTTGAACATTTGAGATACTCAAAATTTGGTTTGCCGAAGTATGAAGGAATCAAAAAGTAGGCAACTACCTTTCTGAGTCTCTGAGCTTCAGAGCCTTCCGCAGGTCTTCGAACTGCTCGAAGTTCGCCTTCCTAAGGCTCTCTTGCACAGCCGCTCTTAGAATGTCAGTTGGGATCCCGAATGACGCCTTGGATCCATAGTACCTGGCCATAGTGATAATCTCAGCTTCTGTCAACATGCCACCAGTCTGGGCACTGACTGTATCTCGGAATAGCTCGAAGGAAAGAGATCCGGTTCCCTTGGCATCTTTGGCTTTGAAAGCTGCATGCGCTTCTTCTTTGCTCTTCTCGCCCAGCACTCCCTTGAGCTTGTACAAGACCATGTCAATATTGGATTGAGGCCACTAAAAACAAACTAAATTTCACATTTCACTAATTTAGAATAGAAAAAATATTTGCCTTTTGCCGAAAAAAGCAAATACATCACGAATGCTTCATAAACGAGATGATAATGCAGCAAAAAACACGCACATTGTAAATTTTTTGCCCATTCATACTTTTCAAATCAGCTTTTCTATGCTATTAGAGAAGGAATATTTGCCTGGTTGAAAAAATCCGTCCAAAATACCTATGAAGATTCTACTTTTTCTCAATTTTTTAATCGTTTCAAATAGAAAGTGCTTGTACCTGAGATGAGTGCTTCTCCATGTAGTTGTACGTGTACTCATCTGCATCCACCAAGTAGAACGGGAAGTCCTGCAGAGTGATTTTCTGGCCCACAGCCAGATCAATGGCCGTGTAGAAGTCCGGAGTCTTGCTGCTGAACTTGTCCTGGCCTGGCTTCTCCTGCCTGGCTCGCTCCATGAATTTGCCTGGCTCGATGCCACTGTTGTGCCGGAGGGGTTCGAAGACGGAGATGGTGTCGTCTGCGAGGAAGCAGGAGACGACGAAGCGTCTGTCTTTGTCTATCTTGCTCTTAGTCAGAAGACAAGCCGCAAAGCGAAGTGTGTTGCACTCCAGTCCGTTCCTGATTCATGAAAATGCTTAATTATTCAATAATAAATTCTCATTATTCCTTTCAGTGATATTACCAATTGTTTGTCGAAACTATTTTGCTCATGATACGATTGAATTTGAAAGCAATTTTGAAAATAAGTAAATTGCCCTCACGTATAAATTTTATAGAAGATCTCAAAAAATATATTCTTTGGCGTTGTTCAGAAATTGGAAAATTGAAATGGCAGAAAATGTTAGATTCATCTGTACTGTTACCTGTCCTTTTCCATGAACTTCATGAAGTCTCTGCGAGGTGGCTTGGGCAGAAGGGAGTCGCAATTTCCGAGGGAGTCCTCGTAAGATCCGAATCCATTGTAGGGAGGCACCTCCCTCTCAGGCACTGGGAAGCGGGGACGGTCCACCGTTATTTTCTTGAACTCGGCTAAAGAAAAAAAACGCTTTTCTCATTTACTATCCTGAGTTTGTCAATTTAATGTTCATCGTCTGTTTTCTCAACTCCTGATGGATTAATCACAAGATTTTTGCGCGACACGATTAAATCATATAACTGTCTGTTTTTGAATGAATTGCAGCCTGGGTCCATTATGCACAAGTATTGAAAGTATTGATTCCTTAAAAATTAAAATTCACTGTAAAAAAACTTTGAAAAGAATTTTAAAAAGTTGGTATGAAGCTGGCTTGTGGTGATATTTGATGGCAACCTACTTCCATATTTGGTCTTGTAGTACTGTTTTGTGAATTCGTCGCAGTCGCAGATGAGCATCTTCCTGCCCCACACATTCATGATGGAACCCACGCTGAGGTCGGCGTCAGTGTAGTACTCCTGCTTGAGGGCCCCCGTCTTCAGGCTGTCCAGAATGTACCTGCCCCCCTTGCCCATGGGACCGAACACATTCAGCACAGTCCTCGCAGCTTCCTGGCCGGGCAGAGGCAGACCACCCACCAACTTCAACAAAAATTAAACTGATAAGTATTTAAAACAAGAGCGCATCTAGGATTTATCAAGGGGGAGGGAAGGGAGTTGGATGCTATGTTGCAGAAACAAAAACAACCATGGGGAGGGGCTATCGTTTATTACGGGCGGGGAGAAGGGTTTTGTGAGGTTCTTGTTTATTAGTTTTCTGGGGTACTAAAATGGAAAAAGCCAATTATTGTACCTTGGGTAGTTTGCACTTGTTGAGAAACATGGGGAGAGCGTCCCTTCCCGCGTTCTCCGGGATGACCTCTTTGATCTCGACTTCGTCGTCCGCCAGGAAGTAATGCAGGATGAACTCCCTCATGTCTCCGAACAGATTGGAGGTGTCGTCCCAGAGCAGGTAGAAGCGCAGCACGTGACTACTGTGTTCCAAGTACTGGCCTACAGGTGAAACAATCAAAAATTAGTTTTGAATCTTGAAGCGTTTTTGTTGGCTAAAAAGTTGGAGCTAACAAATCCTTGCCGTCAAAATATGGTGAATTTTTTTGTTATTTGCCATGCTCATACAATATTTTGTCTAGGAAATTCTTCATCAAAAAAAGGTTCTCTTTGGGTAAAATTGCATAACTTTGGCTACATTTCAGTTTTTTTAGTCTGACAAAAATTTTGCTTTGGACTGGCGATTATTTTTTTGACAGTATTATAAATTATATGAATAAGCGTGTCCTCCCCTTAAAGTTTGTATACTTTGGCGTCATACGCATCTTAACAAAAACGTGATCGGTCAAAAGTTCATATCATAAAACATATCCAAATCATAGACAGTTAGCTAGAAGCTGATGAACTTCCTGGGGGATTTTTAGCACAAGAGTATAATTGACCTAGTTTGTCGATGCGCTCGTAGGGTCTTAGAGGCTGCATGGCCTCCGTCTCCTGCTGTCGGTGCTTGCTATAAGGATCATCTGGGATCTCGCAGGGGTCGCCAATTCTGACTCCCAGTTTTCGGATGAAGTTGCGGGTGAACTGGTCACAGTCGCATAGTTTGAACACCTTGCCGTAGATTTCGACCTCGTTGCCGACGTTGAAGTCCTCGACTGTGAAGAAAGTGTAGTCGTTGGGAGGAGGTCGGCTTATCCTTGATCGCTTCACAATAGTGCCTGGAAAATATGAATTGTTATTATTTAATTAACAACAAACTCAAAGGGCTCTATTTCCTCCCCCTGTGCGAAAAAAAAGCTGGTGGCGGGGGCGTTAAAAAAAGAACCACTCAAACCTACTTTTGGAGCTTGTCTGAACAAAAAAAGGCTCTTTTTCCTTCCCCCCCACCTGCAATTTTTTATAATTAAAATTACTGTTCGCATTGTCCGATTGTCATAAAAATTCACATGCAAATAAATTAAGCCATGACAAACGTATTTGGTCTTCATAGTTAACCTTATAAAATCACTCGTTAGAGCATAAAATTGATGCTCATGTGAGGTGAGAGGGGGGGGGGGGAAGAGCCGAAAAAGTTAAGGAAGTCTGACTGGGTACCTTGTGGTATTCCAGAGTTGTTGGTGGAGTTGGCGACTATTTGGATAGTGTCGTCCTCTAGGTAGAAGTAGAGTCTGCACACGTGCACTCTGAAGTTCTCACTGCTCCTCTCCACCACCGCCTCTTTGTAGTAGCAGTGGAACTGCAACACCTGCCTGCAACACACACACACACACAATACTCAACATAATTTTCCACTATAGTCCTCATGATCAAATCCTTGGACGCTTGAAAGCCTCTTTCATTATTAAATACCATAAAATTAAAAAACAATTGTGGACAAAAGTTAAAAACTTCACAAAAACCGGATATTTGCTTTTTTTGGATCTACGTCCAACACAGAAAGTTACGAGGAATTTCTATGCGGCGGAGAACCGATATGAGCATGGGAATGAAAAAATAGCCAGTAATCAGAGTACTGACTTGTCGAATGCGACCCAGGCGGGCGCCATGTGTCCTGTGCCTCTGGGGATGGTGCTGTGGTTGGGCTTGTACTTCTTGTCATCCCCAGTGTTCATCGGCACCTCATTCTTGAAGTCGAAGTGGTGCTCCTTGTGGAATTTCTCCTTCCCCAGCTACAACAACAACAAGCAATTTAAAAATAACACGCCCTTTTCCATTGCAGTCCCCGCCCATGGCCCCTTTTACAAAGACTGTTTCCCCTACTCTCGCCCCTCTCAATATGAATAGACTAACAACTGTGAACTGCATCGTAACATCTTGCATTCAGCCATAATTATACAATCAATATTTATGAAAACAAGAAATTTTAAAATGGCTCTGTGAATGTGTGGTGTGTGCAGGTTTGTAAGGAGGGAGGGGGGTTGGCAGGCAGGATTGGAAAAGTTCTCAAAAACATACAACAGCGTTGTGGGACTATAAATTTTTGACCATTTTCCAGTTTCCCATCCCTCTCGTAAAACTGTAACGTAATATTGTCTAAAAATTCTTCATAATCTGGGTATCTGCATGCAGCTCTGAACATCAGAGAAAACCAACGGGGGCAACTGAGAAGGAGTGAACTATCTGGTGACCAGGCATAGGGGAGGACTAATGGGAAAGTGTCAAAACAAAACTGCAGGAATGACTAAAATCTAGATTAATTTATATTAAAACAAATGCATTGATTGCCAAGACCAGATATCAATTTAATGATGAGAATGAGATATATTTATTCTAATGGATTTTGATGTGCATAAATTTACCCAGAAAGGTCAACTTACGTTGGGGTTGAATGAGTTTCCGGGAAGGAATGGTAGGGCCATGGCTATTAATTGTTCACAAACACAACAAAATATATATACGAGTATCTATGTATTAAAAGCACGATTAAAATGCACTCTCTGAGTAAAGCGTGCAGAATTCAGCTGCGATCAAAATCACTTTTAAAATGGCACGTGCTGTTTTTCTATGTTTTTGTTTTCAATTCTGTACCATCATTTATACTAAAACTAATGATGCTATATTGCTATAACATTACTCTCGGTAATTTTTTGCTTTAGATATTCAACATTCTGTTTTTTGGGTCCCCCGCATAACTAAAAAGTTCTTACCCTTCGCACTCTCTTTCCAATTAGCGCCCTTAAAAATCACAGTTTAGGGTGGTCTACAATTTTTTTTATTTTTTTCACAAGGGGGATGGGTGCGCTACAATGGGAAATAACGCCACACGTTTTCTTGATAACAGTTTTCTTAAGTCTTTTTTGGGTTCTTTTTCCATTCTACCTCACCTACAAACTTGGGTCTTTCCCTCTAGCTCTTTTCGACTCCCACGCACACAATTTTAATTCAGGTTTAACAGCTAACTTTACATTGCCATCATAATGTAATGAAATTTTGCATGGTGAACAAATGAACCATTGTTATTCATACCTTTCTTCATATTGTGTAACATGACTCGTTCAGTCATAATAACACATAAGACATGTGGGGAGGGGGAAGTGGAAAAAAGCCGATCCAATAAAATATAGCCCCTCCATTAAATAACTCAGGAAAAGAAACAAGACTGCTCGTATCAGGGCGAAGCCCTGAATGTTCCGAATGCCTTTTAAGGTTTATGGAGCAGTCATAACATTTAAAAAAAATAATTGAAATAAAACAAAATGAAATTTTTTTTTCTAAAAATTCAATTTTTTTAATGAAAATCATTTCCCCACGCGCCATATAAAGTATCAAAGGATAGATTTCGTCCCTTGTAACAAATCAATTAAGGCAAATAAGCTTCTTTCAACCAATTTGGAACGACTTCTAAGACGGGTTAACTCTCCGCTTACCCCTTAATAGCGCGAAATATATCGCGCGTTAATTGTCCCAAATTGGCCAAAATGGCAACCTTTAAGCCCCCGTAACTTTACAAAAAAAGATCACAGGTGAAATATCTTTTTAAATTTGAGCTCAAGACAACAATACCTTTTGAATGATATTAAAAATATTCCGTCAAAATGGCTAGTCAAAAAGTCGAAATTTGTCTGAAGAAAAAAAAACCCACCCCGAGCCTAAATATTCCGTTACTTCCGTATCGAAAGTCGGAACAACAACAAGTGCATCTTTATTCATTTATCCATAAATAGTAACTCTATGCAGAAGTAAGTTAAGTACTAACCAAACACAGATGCGATTTTGTATGAGTGCCTATAAAATTGAAAAAACAATAATTGCTTTAAAGTTAAAAAAAACTGGTATACTGGGAAAGTTTTTGCTACTAAGCTGAAGTGGCAATAATGGAACACACTCACAAATTTTTCTGATTAAACGTTTTTTTAAATTCAACATACTTTATTTTGAGAAACCCACTCGTTACACTAAAAAATTAAATGCTCATGTGAGGCGGGGGAATAGGAAAAAGCCGTTTTGTTTTGATCAGTTGATTGACAGACCCGCCACATTCCGAACTCATTCGACACCCTATATTTCCAATACACACCACTTATTAATGCAATGGTGAAAACATGAGTTGTCTCATTTCTACCCACAACCCCTGTTTAAATTTTTATCTCGAAAACGAATTCAAATTTGTCACAATGCAATGATATGTTGCATTGTGAATATTTCACAATTCGCAAAAATTTATTCTTTATGCGTATCACTTGTCACGCATATATCCATAAACAAGGTGAATTTATAATAAGAACGAAAAACTTTTTTTTGGTGAACATGGAAAAATCGCTTGCTGCAGAAAAAAGAAGAGTGTGGATGAAGGGAAACAGTATAGAGCCCCAGCTCATTTTTAAAATAAATTTGCCGATAAAAATTGCTTATCATACAATTTTCAGCTATGAAAAAATTGTAATTAAAGCATTGTTTCATAACGGATAAAACCTTAGAAAATTATTCAACATTTTTAAGCAAAATCTGATTGCATGCGGCTTTTAAGCTAGATGCGATTTGGCTCCTATGAGCATTGGCCGTGTAAACCTGCTGCTTTTTTAAGGAAATTACAAGTCATTTTTTTCTTCTCGGTTAAACTATTGGTCCTACATTTTCACAATTTCAACTATTAAGTGCTTAAAAATATGCTATTATACAAATTTTAAAACTTGTTTTAGAAACCATCAAAACAAACTTTTTAATTCAACCTTTTGGAAATTTCTGATTTTAGAAAAAATAATTTCAGTTTTTGGATAAAATATGAAAACACTGATTACCCAACTTTCATAAACATGGTTGCATAATCAACTTTTTAAACAAAAATTCAAAAACTTCAGGACTCATGAAAACTGTCATCCATGAAAATTTTAAATAAGTCGGTTTAACAAAAAGTTTTGTGAATTGAGAGCAGCTTGATCGCCAAATTATGATTTCGTTTCTTTTCGAAATCTGCCTGTTATACAAATTTCAACTATAAGTTTTGTATAAAAAGCGTTGTTTCATTGACAAAATGTATTTTCAGAAAAAATTTGGAGCAAACATTTTTGAGATTACATTAAGCGAGGTAAAAACATTTTTTCATGATTTAGAGGAACTTAGATTTTCAGAAAATTATAATTTTTGTCAGAAAACGCTTATGATAGAACTTAATGTTCAAATGAAAAGGTCTTAAATGAAAAATTCTTGAGTTGGATTTCTTCGAAGAGTTTTGAAAATTTTGGCATTCATGGTGCTCTCAAAGAAGATAGTTTTTAATAACTTTTGTTACTTTTCTAACAAAACAGTTGATCATACAAAAATATTTATAACAAATGCGTGATGAGAAGTTTTCAATTTTTATCCAAAATTTGAAATAGTTTTTTTTAAGTAATGGGAAGCATTTAAAACGTCAAAAAAGAAAAATATTTGTTTTGATGGTTTTAAAAAAAGTATTCAAAATTTGTGTGAGAAGTGTACGATAAATTTGTTTCCATGCACTCAATAGTTGAACACGTAGGACAGGCACTTTGAATGACGAGAGAAAGAACTTGTCTCAGATTTAAGAAAAAAGCAGCAGGTTCACACGGCCAATGGTCATAGGAGTTGAATTCCAATCATCAAAAAAACCGAACTATTTCTGATTGAAAGACTCATTAAAGTGAAAAGATGCAACTTAGCTCCCTTGTCCGAAATATTGAACTAAGAGTGCAAGACAATCGAAATCGAGGTTACCCGAAACTGACGACGTACTAGTTCAGGCGAAAAAAAATTGTCGTTAGAGAGTAGAAGAGCCAACTGCTCAAAATTGCAATTAAACAAAAGCATTTTCAGACAAAATCGCCAGCTGAACTAATAAAAAAGCCAGAATTGCGTCAAAAAGCTAATATACGATCAATGATGAAAGTAGTCTTCTATACAGAATTTTTTTGGCCGAAAGTTTAATTTAGACAAAAAAGACTCAGCGCTAACAGCTGGCTTTGACGAAACTCATTGTTTCCATTTTCGAAAGTTTGATAGGTAGATTAGCTAATACACAACAAAAGAAACGCGTCAATATCGAAATAGTTGTTTTTAGTTGATCAATGTTGTCAGGAGAGTTCTTAGATCTTGTTATGAGTTTGGTATTTTCCGATTGATATTTTTTCTTTGTTCGCAGGGAAATTTTTTTCGTTATCCTAACATTGACACACGAATCTTCACGATTACCTTCCTGAGCGGATTGTATAAGCATTTTTCGGAACACTTGAAATAGTTTTGACTACAGCTTATGCTGTCCACTAATTCAAAACGATCCAGCAAACTCTGAAAAATGACGTGAAGAGTTAACAAAGAACAAATTCTTCAAAAACATTCTTTAGTGTTAACCCTTAGCATCATTTGTGGTAGTTTGCTGAACTCTTCTGAAATAATGGACAAAAATGAATGTTGTTGAAATGATTTTCAACGGTCCGGAAAACGCTTATATTATACGCCAATGTAAGCAATTGTAAAGGTTAGTGAGTCAGTGATAAAATGAAGAAAATTAAGTTTCCACCGTTCATCCAGAAAAAACAACAAAATACGAAATTTCATAACAAGTTTATTGATGCCACGAGAGGAAATCTCGTGACATCAATAAGCAACTACAATGATCTTTATCGATATCCGCGCTTTTTGTTATAATGTATCAGCAAATTGATTGCCAGAGATGTGTTCAAATCTATTCAAAATAATTGATCCATTTTTTTTTACAATTTGACGTTTTTTTAGTTCAGAAAAAGTGAAAATACCTTCACTGCAGAAAATTAGTCATTTATTCATCTTGATATACTATTTTTACTTTACGTTTTTAGTTCAGTTTTTTTTGAAACCATTGTCTACTCTTTTTGAAGAAATTGTGTTGTGATACGTGTGGCAAAATGTTGGATAAAGTACAGCACAAACTGATAGCAAAGAAAAAATCAGGTTCAGATCTTTTGTGTTTGTTTTTCTTAGTGTTGTCACTGGATTCGCGATGATGAAGCCACAACACAATTTTTTGGCTTTTTCAGACTTTTGGCAGTTACCATTTCGGACTTTCCAGCCGTCCAATTCTAGAGGATGGAAACAATGAGTTTTGTCAAAGCCAGCTGTTGGCGCTGAGTCGTTTGTCGTCTAAGTTAATATTACGGCTAAAAATTTTTTAAATCATCAAAGATCATATATTGGCTTTTTGACGCTACTCGGTTTCTTTTCTGTTAGTTTAGGTCACTTTTTTGTCTGAAAGTTCATTTGGCCAAAAGCAATTTTAGGAATTTGGGTCGTTCACTGGCGAATGACATTTTTTTCGTCTAAATTAGAGTTTCGTAAGTTTGGCCTGCTCTAGCTTTCGATCGTCTGCACACTGAGTTCAAACTTTTGGACAATGAAAATTTATGGGCTACTTTTTGACTAAACGAGCCTTTCGGCCAGTCTGAAATTCGTCTTTTCTGCGCTAACTAAAATTCAACTCTTTTGGCTGTTGGCCGTGGGAGCCTGCTGCTTTGTTTCTTAAGTCAATTTTTTCTTCAGATTAAACTACTGAGTGCAACGAAATAATTTTATATTACAATTTTCATACAATTTTTAAGTACTGTTTATAAACCTTCAAAGCAAAATTTTTTCTATAATGATGTTTTGGAAGCTTTCCAATTAATTAAAACCATTTCAATTGATTTTATGGATAAAATAATGAAAAATTATCATCACTTATTTTTGTTATGATTATGGGTGTATAATCATATTTTTAGAAAAAAAATGAATTCATTAAAAAATAATTTCTATGAAATATTTAAACATTTTCAACAAGATTTTTTTTGATTGAGAGCATCTGGATTGTCAAAATGCTATTTTTTATACTGAATAACTGCTTATCATAAAGCTTCCAAAGACGCAGTTTTCTTTTAAATATTAAATTCTTGGAAACTATCACGCCTCGATTGCATGCGACTGGGTTTTTCAAAAATCTTTTTTAGTTAGCGGCTTTTGCATGTTTTATTAAGAATTTTTAGTTTGTAAAATGCCTTAGTCTTACGAATCGTGATCATCTACTAAACCCTAATAGTTCCGACCATTGAAAATGTGAAGAAAGGTTGTATTTGGGTGTGTTTTAGTTTTCTTTCTTGTTTTTTTTCCACGCAAAATCAGCTACCACAAATAATCATCGGACAGGGTTGAATTATATATCATATTAAAGCTCTTTCAGTCGTGATTTGAACTATCTTAAAAAATTTCAAACAAGTTTTCACAGGGTCGAGAAAAACCGGTGTGAAATTTTTGATTTATGGTCTAAGTTTGAGCTAATAAGTAAAATACGTAGTAATTGAAAGAGCTTATTTATTTTTAGTTGAAGCTGTGAAAGCTTAGTTTTAATCATGCAAAGGAAATTTTTGGGTTTTAGCGCAATTTTGGTATTAAAAATGGAACCTGATCTAAACTATATTTTATTATTGGTCATAAATTAGATATTTTATCACTATAAAATATTTAATATTAACCAATCATGATCCATCTAACTAACAACCCACTTATTTGTAAGTGCTGAAATTCTTGCAATTTCAGCACCAGAGAGATTTGAATTTAACTTAGAAATTAGTTACCTCTCCAAGAGAACTTTAGCAATCGCAATAAGCCAGTATACTCTAGATCTACTGAGCCTAGCAGAGACTAGTTAAACACCCTGAGACTAGTAGATATAAGAGTAATATTAGGATCGGTATTAGACCAAGAAGTTGCACGAATCTATCCGGCCGAAAATAAGATAGCGTGACGAACAGACGTTGTACCCTATCCGAAATTACTCTATGAGATAGACCTAAGAACATAACTCAAAAACTTGAAGAGTAAAAATAAACCTTTTTCAAAATTTTTTCTTCTATTGACCTATTTTACTATGACTTTCAAATAGGTTCTAATTTTTCGTTCAGATTTTTTAAAAATTTTAATTTTGATTAGTTTAACTGATGAGATTATTTTTAAAGAGAGTGGAAAGATAGAAAAAAATCTCTTTTACGGAGATCTTTGGAAACTACAGAAACTAAGATTAGTACTAAGTTGTAATGAACTAAGGTTTTGCACGAACCTATCCCGCTGAAAGTAAACAGCGTGACAAATAGACAAGGCACATTCCATTTGAACTACTCTATGAGAAGCCATTTCGAACATATCTAGCTAGACACCCAAATTTGAAAAACGTAGAAAGAAGTCACTAATTTTTTTGTTTCTTTAGATGTTTCGACAAAACTTTTTAAAACTCGAACAAAATAGTCAGCAAGTCGCTTTCTTGCATGTGAACTAGTTTTTTTTCAGGTCATTTGTTGATCCAACTGATTATTTTCTCTTGGGATTCTGAAAATGAATTATGACCTTCTCAGGGCTTTTTAAACTTATAGATTTATGAAGCCTCTGGTACGCAACTTATGATTACCAATGGTAAATGTATCGAATATGCCCAGACTGCGGTCATCTACTTGTCGATCTATCTTTAATTCTCAAAAGACCAGACGTAGAGAAAATATTTATTCTACAAGATAAAACTAGGGCTTAAGCAAAGTTTGACTTGGGCAAGACTTTGATGCATTGATAACTACTATGTTTGCTCTGAAAGGGATTAAGACAGATAAGTTTCCACATTAACCATTGATGTTGGCCGTGAGCTGATTATTTCGAATTCCTCCTTATCAAAGAATAATCGCCTTTCATATACTGAAATTCCTGTTCGACTGAAACTTCTCAGACTTTCTTTTCCAGGTGCTTGAACAGTTCTTTCAAGCCAGTTTCAGAGATTTGCAACAACAAAATTGGAATTGGCAAATAGTTATTGTCATATTGTTGACAAAATCGTTTAACGGCTCTTTTCCAGTCCCCTCTTTCAAAATACCGAGTTTTATGTTTGTTTTATGTGTTATTACGGCTAAATGCGTGATGTTACGCTGTAAGTATGAAGAACAAATCTGTTCAGAATTGTCGATTTGTTCACCACGCCAAATTTTGTTGCATTATGACAACGTTAAATAGACTTTTTAAAATTGAATTTGAAAGGGGGGAACTGGAAAAGAGCCCGTTTAACTTGAGCGCCCTAATTAGTCAGAAAGGGCACTTTTTATATCAGATTTAAGCTCGGCATTCACGTGCTAAAATGCGAGAACAATTTATATCTAAAAAAAAAAAATTTCGACAATTTTGCATCTCTTTTTGACAAAATGCAAGCTATTTTTTCACGAAAATTGCATGCATTTGAGGGTTTTGGACAACTTTGAAATGTGACTGATCATTTGCATACCAAAGTTGTCACTTATTGTTCCGACTGTCAAATATTGCTCTGAAGTGAAGTTTTGCAAAGTAATAGTTTGCATAGGTTTAACCTAGGCGGAGAGGGGGGGGGGGGGGGGGGGGTTGAGCTGGACTCGGAAAAGAGCAAGAGCAAAATGTTGAAAATTAAGGAAATTAATCTCCATTAATCTAAAATTATATAAGCTGCGAAATCTTAGAATACTTATTTAAACATAAATTCTCTAAACTAATTTCTTTGTAGCATTAAACTTTTAAGTCATTCCTGTGGTGATCGGATTGTTTGAGTTTCAGCGAAGTAAATTATTGTATAATAACTTACAAAAAGTTGGAACACACAGGTTTGATTTTTAAAAACAATTTGCCAATTTTCAGCAGTTTTTGATTCATTGGTAGTATTTTTTGCACGCAAACTTGAATTTTTAGGTGACCTTGGTTTGTACTTTTTTCTGAAAAATTAGATTTTGCATGCATAAGGTGTCTGAAATTGGTCATTTGCTCTCTTGAATGAATTAATTTTATCTGTTCCAGTTTTTTGCAATTACCTTTATATCAAAAACCGAAAATAAAATAACCTCAAAAACGTTCAATACATTTGTGAAACGTGTGAAAAACTATACATGGCTGTAATGATATGCAAAAGTAATTGAAAAGAGCATTCAGACAATTTTTCAATGCAAAAACTAATTTTTCTGACAAAAAGTGTGTCTATTAAAAAAAATCAATTTTGTCTACAAAAATTCAAAAATTGCTCCTAATTTGCAAACTGCTTTTTAAATTAATTTTTTCTGTTCAAGTTTATTGCAACTAATTATTGAGAGTAGCAAAGAGTAGAAACAGAAAAAAAACTAAAAGAAAGAGAAAACGACCAATTTCTGACAGTTTTTGCACGCAATAAAAATGTCCCAAAGTCACCTAACAAATGAGACTTGTATATAAAAATGCTCAAAATTGGCAGATTGTTCTTTTTGATCATCTCTCTTTGTTGCAATTTTTTTGCAACTTTTTGTATAGTTAATGCCAAATTATTGACAATATTGGTGACCTTGAACAAAAGTGGTTAGTTAAGGCTAATTAAAATTTTTTAATGGGTTTTTTACGTGCTCAAATGGGTGACAAATTAATTTCAGGCTTCAAAATGATCAGTTTTTCGTTAATTAACTTCGTTTAATTTTATTGACCTAAGAGCATATTACCACGAATTTGGCATTAACTTTATATAGAGTAGCAAAAAGTTCGGACAGACAAAAATAATTTAAAAGTGCAAATGACCTTCTTCAGACAATTTTTGCATTCAAAAGCTATTTTTTCAGACAAAAAGTATGTCTTAATGTCACCTAAAAACTCAAAATTGCATGCAAAAATTGCTCAAAATCGACAGATTGCTCTTTTTAATTATTTCTGCCTGTCCGAATTTTTTGCAACTCTCTATGATTTTATTATAATTTTAAGCAAAAAATTGGAACAGACAAAAAATTGAAAAAAGCAATCTGTCAGTTTTGAGCAATTTTTTAGTGCAAATTAGATTTTTAGTTAATCATGTGTCATATTTTTTGTCTGAAAAATTAGAATTTCTGAAACACAGTGCTGATTTAAATAAACCGGACAAAATGCGTTAAACTTGAAAATTAAAGCGCGTTTTTCTCAAATTGGGTTAAATTTAGATGAAATTTAAGATGACAAAACTTGCTTAAAATTTTAGCAGAATTAAAATGGTGTAATTTGTTTTGCGAAGTTCGAGCTCAAATTTTTACCCAAAAATTGGTCATTTTGGTTTTTCTTAGTTAATAAAAATTTATGCCAAAAAATACCCGGTCGATCACAAACATAAATATATCAAAGTGAGCCCATTACAAAGCTCAACAAACTTTAACGAGGATCTTTTCTCCGAAACATTGTTTAAGTTAAATCATTTTTGTTTGATAGACAAAAAAAGTCGTTTTTACTATATAAATTACCAACTTTTTGTTTAAAATCAATTTTAAAACAGTTTGCAAATTTTTTCGGAGAATATACCTTTTTTTAAAGTTTGTTGAACTACGTAAGGGGCTCACTTTGACATAAATATGTTTGTGATCGCCCGGGTTTTTTTGGCGTAATTTTTTGATTAACTAAGAAAAGCCAAAATGACCAACTTTGGGGTAAAAATTTGAGCCCGAATTTGGCTAAACAAATTACAGCATGTTAGCTCTGTTAAAATTTTAAGCAAGTTTTGTCTCCATAAGTTTTCACCCAAACCAACCCAATTTGAGAAAAACCCGTTTTGAATTTCAAGTTCAACTCGTTTTGTCCAGTTAATTTACATGTAGATCATTTGCTCTTTTAAATTGATTATGTCTGTTCTAATTATTTTGCTACTCTCTATATAGAAAGTTGCAAAAAGTCGGACAAACAGATTAAATAAAAAGAACAACTGTCTAGACATCAACGGAAATTAAATCTGAAATAAACATAACGTCGAAAGTTCACAAAGCTGAGTTTCACTCAAAACCTATATAATCGGCGGAAAATTGCATTCGAAGCGTCGAATAGTAAACCCTGAAACAGGAAAATTAATGCTCAGGTGGCTAAGTTTTTCTGCCATTAGTTTCTAATTTTTGAACAATATGATGATCTTAACTTCCGTTAAATTTTTTTTGCGCGGCCTAATCTGTTTTTTTTTTGTTATTGAAATTAACTCTAGATTTCGAATTTTTAACTAATTTTTCAAACTGTTTTATAGTAAAATCTGGAAGTTCATCGCAGCAATCAAAAAACAGGCTAGCATAATAATCGGATATTCGACAATCTCGCTATTTGGTTTGGTCTGAAAAAAAGTTCAAGGTTGTTCGGCTTCAGATTATGCCTGCAAAAAAGCGTCGAAAAGCACTAATTGCTCATTTTAATTAATTCTACTGTCCAAACTTTTAAAAAGCAAAAAAGCAAAAAACCATGCCAAGCACGGCGAGCAATAAAAAATTTATACATATAGTTGCAAAAATTTGGAAAGACAGAATTAATTAAAGAGAGCAATTGTACCATTTTGACAAATTTGTGCATGCAACTTTTGTTCTTTCAGACAACCCTGACATCAAATTTGCTCTAATTAAGAAAATTTTGCATGCAAAATTTTTTCAAATTGAGTTAATTTCTCTTTTTAAATAATTTTGTCTGACCAAATTTTTTGCTACTTATTATTTTATTAGTAGTAGCAAAAAATTAGAACAGACTGAAATCATCAAAAAGAGCAATTTGTCAATTTTGGTTTCTGAAAGAGGTCATTCTGTGAAAGTAATTATCTTTCTTCCAACTTTTTGCTCCTATCTATATCTCCTATCTGCACGCAGAGACCAAATATGAATAGAGCAAAAAGTTGGAAGAGAGATAATTACTTTCACAGAGCAAATTACCTACTTCAAAAAGGAAATGGACAAATTGCTCTTTGTAATGATTTCAGTCTGTTCCAATTTTTTGCTGCTACTAATAAATTAATTAGTAGCAAAAAATTTGAACAGACAAAATTATTTAAAAAGAGTAATTTACCTTATTTGAAAAAAAGTTTTGCATGCAAATTCTTTTAACTAAAGCAAATTTGATGTCAAGGTTGTCTGAAAGAACAAAATTGCATGCAAAAATTTGTCAAAATGGTATTATTGCTCAGTTTGAGGAAATCTGACTGTCCAAACGTTTTGCAATAATCTGCATGTTTTTTTGCTCGGTTGTTTCATTAATCAGTTGTTCATTATTTTTCTAAATTTGTTGCAATCGGAGGTCTGTCAAATTTATAAAAACCGAACGGCAGCACGCGTCTCAGTAAACACCAAAAACCTTTTATTAGTCAATCCTTCTGACTCGTTTGGCGTGCTAAGATGCCAGTCTAGAGAACCAACCTGATAAATTGTAAAGCGTATGCATACTGCCAGGGCACTGACAGAGAGTTTTTATCATTACAAGTTTAACTACAAGAAAATTTCTTTAGTGCGCTGCTCTTGAAAGCTTTCTGCATCTGAACCATTCTTCTTTAGGACGACTCCGATCAGTGCCCCGCCCGCTTAGATAAACCCTCACCGCAAACAGTATTGCCACCAGTTAGGCAAAAACTATAGAATATTCTAGTCATCAGTTATGGATTGTTGCATGAAGCCCACTGTGTTTCAAGTTATATTAATTGTTATACAAGTTAATACTTTTACGAGTATCGCTGCAGGGGACTTTCAAGTGAAAAACCTCGTGATTGGCGAACCAGTTTCGGGTAAAACAGAATTTAGACTTGGTGTTATGGCTCCCGATTTTATGGATTACAGCTTATCACCCCTTTCTCTCAATTCAACTGTAGTTACGCTCAAGTACAGCGTTGAAAAAATGTTGCCAGAGCTGCTCCCAAATTATTATTTCAATATGAGGTACAACGGTACAAGTCTGGTAATTGAGTCCTTAAAACAGTTAAGTAGTTGAAAAATACACGAACCAAGTTTGCAGGTTCGAGTTAATAATGATAATGCAAAACCCGTGCATTTGCTCAGTGAAATTGCAGCTCCCACTTCCGAAAAAAAAAACAATTTTTGAAATGATACAGTCACCGGTCATAGAAATTGCAACTTTTTGTTTTCAACGAGCAAATGAACAAAATTTTTCTTGACGTTTCTCTATTCTCCGGCAATTATTTAAGATACAGGGTTCAATTTATGACAAAATATAGATGAAACTAAATGTAGACAATTGTTTTGAGCCCAATAGTTCACATTCATTATCTTGTTTGCGAGGATCTTTCCACAGCAAGAACACCTCTAAAAATAGTTTAATATACTGGCTAATGTACGCTATCGAAATAACTTTTTTCCCAAAGTTTGATTAAGTTTAGTCCTTAAAATTAGTTTCATTTACTTTTTGTCAAAACTTGAACCCTGTATCTCAAATAGTTGCAGGGAAAACTGACGGGATTCGTTGCTCATACTTAACGATAATTACGCATCCGATTAGCAAGCATAGCCAATAGGAAAATTGTATTTTTTTCATGTATGAACTTGTATAAAAGAATCATTAAACTGTTCCGAAGGTTTACTTTTTGTTACTGTTCCGACTTTCGAAACGAAAGTAACGATAAATTTGTGCTCGGGGTGGGTTTTTTTTTCTTCAGACAAAATTTGACTTTTTAACTAGCCATTTTTGACGGAATTTTTTTTATAACATTCGAAAGGTATTGTTGTCCTGAGCTCAAATTTGAAAATATATTTTACCTGTGATCCTTTTTCATAATGTTACAGGGGTTTAAAAATATAATTCGTGCTATTAACGCGTAAGCGGAGAGTTAATCCGTCTTAGAAATCGTTCCAAATTGGTTGAAAGAAGCTTATTTGCCATAATTGATTTGTTACAAGGAGCGAAATCTATCTTTTTGTACTTTATATGGCGTGTGGGGGGATGATTTTCATAAAAATTTTCAAATTAAAAAAAGATTTTCATTTTGTTTTATTACATTTATTTTTTAATGTTAATACTGCTCCATAAACCTTAAAAGGCAGTCGGAAAATTCAGGGCTTCGCCCTGATACGAGCAGTCTTGTTTTCATCAGCTTATTATTTGTACAGTTGGCATAGTGGCAATATCTATATCCGGAAAAGCACAAAAGGCGCAAACAGAAAAAAACTCGAAAGAAAAAACTGTCGACCAGTCGTTTTCTGCCAAAATTTTGTTAAATTAGCTAATGCAATAACGCGGTTTTATATTGCAATTTCAGCAATTTTAAGTTTCCACTTTGATTTTTTAAATACTTTTTTGTTTTGCCGAAAAATATTATCCCGCATAAATGGTTTCGGTTTATGTCATCTTCTCTTTTTTTAAACAAGTTTTCTGATTGGTTTAAATTTTGTATCCCTACCTGAAATACCAGAAATACTTCTCGGAAGTGTTCGATTAATATATCATCTTACAGCCCTGTATGTGACAGTTTGAAGGATATTAAAAATTTCAAAAAATTTCAGTGTTGAAGCAACCGGTGTGAAATTTTTGAGCACGCAAGGAATGTTTTCTAAACCAAAAAATTCTTTTTCGAGGAGCATGTTGTCAATTACACCCCTATTTAGTAATTCTATCAAATATGACTAAGCTCCTGGTTTTCGTTCAGTTTCAGATAATTTCATCACAACTTGAGTTAGAAAACGACGCAAATTGAAAAAGAAACTCTTTTTTTCCTTAAGCTTTTTATCTTACTCTGGTCAAAATTTTCTGTGCTACTTTCACAGCAACCGGATCTCTGGTCATATTTCCCGAACAACTGGTCATATTTCCCGAAGTGGAGTTTCAAAAATAAATAGCCGAAAATTTTTCTTGAAATTAGTTAAACTTACTTTTTTGTTTAACTTTCGCCAATTTTTTCCCTCAAATTGAACATTGGTCGAGACAAACGTTAACAAATTTAAAGATTAAGTTTCCCCCTTGATTCCCAAATTTCCAAAATTTCCAGTTTCCCAAATGTTTTAATCGACTCAATGGCTTTCGTCTCACTTTCTGTCCGCTAGCTGTATTCGCGAAGCTTGACAAGTTGTGCGAAGCTCCGCTCGACCTCTGTCTTGATAATGATGCAGTGATGTTTTTGATGGACCTATTTTTTCCATTGTTAATACACTGGCACTCATTCAAACGCTTTTTAAAAAAAACCACTTGCTATACTTGTTGTCTGCACCCAGATACCATACTTGTACCAATTTTAGTTACGTGGATTCCAGTTGCGATTCCGAAAAATTCATCATTACAACAGATTTGATACATTATTACAGAATCCAGGCTATTTTTGGTCCTATGTGCATAAACCTGTTGGCGTCAACCGCCTCTGCAGCCAAAACAGTTGGAATAAATGCATTGACGGTTGGCAGTCAAAGTTTGGCTAATGGTAAAGATACTATGGTGCGACTGATTTCCCCCTTTAAGCACTACGGAAGCTTAGACAAAACAAACGCGGGTCTTGATCTCAATTACGCTTACGTTGTGAACATCCTATTTGTTCATTTCGGATGGCCAATTTCTGATATAGTCGCAGTTTATCATTCTAACCATACGAACTCAAAGGGACACGACTTGAATATCGCGCCTTTGTGGTGTCTTGCGTTCGATTGGGTAAATTTTGTCGCTGGTGAAAGATCTGAATTTTCCCAATTGGGTTTGCATACTTCTGTTGACAAAAATGGGAACGAAGTTTTGGACGAGTTAACTGAAAGGCAACTTAAGTTCCTCACGTTGGCCAGGACTTTCGTCCTTGGAATGGAAGCGAAATTTGTGCGGCAATTTTTGTTCATGATTTTCTGCGAAAAGAAAGGCAAATTTAAAATTGAAGAGTACGTTATAATTTATTTGCAACCAAGTTACGTACTTGGCTCAAATATCGACGACCGGCTTTGGAAAGACCCTGATTCAAAAGTAGCTGAAGATTCAGCGCAAAACAAGTGTTTGAAACGTGTTTTCAGACATGTTTTGATTGTGCGACCTCAAGATACTTTTGCGGGAAACATGCAAAAGTATGAACAAATTAAATACGGCTTTAATCGAGCATGTGCTCTGAGCCCACTGAAAAACTGTCAGGTTCTCGAAACACCATCTAATTTTCAGTATGTGGCTGCCACTTACGATGGAGTACGACTGCTCATGCAGGCTATGAACAAATCTATTTCGGAGAATAACAAAAAGGTTCCGAAATCAAGCAGACATTCTGCCTTTGAATCAATAACGACATTTTGGTTGAACAGTAAAAAACGTAGGGTATCTTTCATGCGGTGCTGGAGTTTTGAAGCACTCGAGTTTTTATCCCAGAATTGTACCATGATACCCAACACACAAACACAAACTCATTTCATCTCACCTGTCAAGCACTTTTAAAGAGCAATCATGAAACAGTTTTTTGGTTTGCGCCATCCATATGGGGTGTAAATTACGTTTTTTTTTCATTGGGATTAAATATTGCGCCTGAATTATTAAAAATTGCAGGCCTATGCAGGCCAAAATACCCTATGCAGATAAAAATTGTTCACGGATAGGCATACTTTTCTCAAACTTTTGTTATGGCAGCACCAAAAAATGGACGGTAGGTAGTTTGCCCAAAATTTTAGTCTCATTTAAGATTGTCTTCTTGAATGCAGCTTGAAAACGAAGATGTAAATCAAGTCCTATTCCCGTTCGTCGCCGGAAAACATTTCTACGACTCTAATTTCGCCGGTGCTTCCGACATAGTTTTCAACGATGCTGGCGAAAGAGTGACCAAAATGGAACTGTGGCGTATGGAAGATACAGAAACCGGCATCTTTTCAGCTCATGTTGTTTTTGACTTTGACGGAACCAATGTCACTAAGGGTCCTGGAGTACCTTGGATTGGAGGAAGTGCGCCCAAAAACAACCCAGGCGTTGTTTCTGACAATCAATGCAGTCACCAGCATTCTCATACAGGCCTGACGATTCTGATCTTCTTTCTGGTAGCATGTGTCGTGTTTCTCCTGGCTATTCTTACTTTGATTGGGATCGTTATGTACACGAGGGGCATGACGGAGCGGTCGCTCAGAGAAACAATCGTTCCATTTTTTGTGACAACTGAACAATGATTTTCGAGAAATTGCAGAGGTACCTGTTCAAAATTGCATGACAAAATTTTGCGGTAGAAAGAGAATCTGTGCTTCGGCGATGTTAATATTGACGTATACTGAGCTTATTTAATCTTTTTGAAGTGATTTGTATTTGGATAAAACCATACAGAATAGACTAATCAAAGTTGTATGCAATTTTTGAATTTAATTGTATACTTGTTTGAGCTATTTAGGCTTCATACACAAAAGCGGATTTAGGGGGGGAGACGATTTCTACTCGACCCCCTACCGACCCAATGGTTCCCCCTGTGTACTATTTTGAGACATCCATTTTTGGTGACGGACCATAAAATTTTTCTAAAGGCGCCTTTGGCGCCAATATATACTAATTTTAAGGGGGAGCGCGCCGAAAAAACGCGATTTTTCAAAATATTCAAAAAAGTGCCTAAAAACGCCTTTTTCTGCCTGTTTTTTCAAAATTTAACCTGCGGCGCAGAAATTTTCGGCAAAACAGAGTTTCTTTGGGAGAACTCGGAAAATCAATTTGGTCGACTTAAAACAAAAAAGGTCGACACAATTTTGGATTTTTTTTTGAAAAACCGCCCACCTTCGAGAAACTCCTAGATCGGCCCCTGTTTATACATGAGTAGTATAGATATACGACACTGGGATCGGGGGGGGGGGGGGGGTGATCCCTACAGGGATCATTGGGTATAGATTATACCTAATGATCCCAATGTAAATATTTATACCTAATGATCCCTATGTAAAATATTTATACCTAATGATCCCTAAGTAAAACATTTATACCTAATGATCCCTATGTAAAAAATTTTCCAAAAAATTTTTTCATCCAAAAGTTTCCAAAAAAAAAATTTTTTTTCAATTTTTTTTTTCGTTTTTTTTTCAGTTTTTGTTTTTAAATTTTTTTTTCAAACTTTTTTTCAAATTTTTTTTCAATTTTTTTTTTCAAATCTTTTTTTTCAATTTTTTTTTCAATTTTTTTTTTCAAATTTTCTTTTTCAAATTTCTTTACTTAATGATCCCTTGTGAATTATTTATACCTAATAATCCCTATGCAAAAAATTTATACCTAATGATCCCTATGTAAGAAAATTTATACCTAATGATCCCTATGTAAAAAATTTATACCTAATGATCCCTATGTATAATTTTTATAGCTAATGATCCCTATGTAAAATTTTTACCCAATGATCCCTATGTAAAAAAATTATACCTAATGATCCCTATGAAAAATTTTTATACCTAATGATCCCTATGTAACAAATTTATACCTAATGATCCCTATGTAAGATAATTTATACCTAATGATCCCTATGTAAAAAAATTATACCTAATGATCCCATTGTATAATTTTTATAGCTAATGATCCCTATGTAAAATGTTTATACCTAATGATCCCTAGGTAAAATAATTATACCTAATGATCCCTATGTAAATACTTATACCTAATGATCCCTATGTAAAATTTTTATACCTAATGATCCCTCAGCAGGATATTTGCAAGAAAAAAATCATACCAGTCCTGAGTACACATATGTTTTGCCTTGTCCAATAAAAAACTGTTAGCTGGGTCACGTGACAGGTATTGCGTTTTGCTTATTTCTTAAAACATTCAAACCAAAGTTATTTCGTTTGTTGGAATGTTGAGTGAAAGTCATGTTAACCCAAAGAAAGAAAACTAAAAAATTGTTTTTCAACCATCTCATTATTTTAGATATTGCAGGATTTAAATGTGGCAAGAAACTTTTGATCATAGAGGAACTTTCCGTTTGTTCTGCTAATACAATTGATACAATTCATTTTCTGCCACCAGTTCAATTCAACAATTTATCAAAAGAAGAGAAAAATGCGTACAATTGGGTATCTAAATTTCTACACGGGCTTCGTTGGGACAAAGGTGAATACCCTTACTCATACTTGGATCAAATTTTTGACAGCTTTCGTTTGAGGAAACCAAATTCCCATTTTTTTTGCTAAAAGTACACAAAAATCTGTTTTATTAGCTGAATACTTGAAATTACCCGTGTCAAATTTGGAAGATATTGGCTGCCCAAAGATTGAACAGTTATTGGGTCAAGAAAAACATTTTGCAAACGACATTCTCATTACTTCCCTCGCATCAATTATTAAAGCATTGTACCCGTAGAAAATCCAAAGTTTTTTTCGATTGGTTATGAAATGAACTGTCCAATGATGCAAACAACCTTATCTCCAAATTTGGTGGTTTACGCTTCAATGACTAATCAGAATCCTGAAAACAATTTAACACCAAGAATTAAAGTTACTCTTACGCGGACAGGCAAATTAGATTGTCGAGGAAAACCTCTCCTGCAAAACTCGAACAAATTACACTGAACGATATCGAAATCGATAATTTACGGAAATTTTTTACAGTTCTTGACTACTTTCACCTGTACAATGTCCAGACTCCAGGAATTTCGCCAGTCAATTCCGTTGTTCAATCTCAACCTGGAAGGGCTGCAACCTCAGCTGGGAGAGAGAAGACAAATCCATTTGCATGACCATCAGCTTCCAGCTGAACTGAAAGAATTAGTCAAAACTGATAACGTTGAGGAAATACATTTAGTTCAAGCCACTATCAGAGTTGCTGCTCATTTTGTTGTAAAGTTCAAATCTAATTATAACCATGACAAGTTCACAAAATATGAGTTTTTCTTCATTGAACGAGGAGCTGATTTGCCTGTTGAACCGAAATGACGAATCACATATATATGCCAAGTTTTGTGAATCATAATAAATATATTTATTGGTTGTTTTCATTTTCTTTTGATCTTGTGTGATTACTAGTTGCTAACACATCGTGTTTGAAAATTCAAAATTTCAAAAAAATATTTTTGCCAAAAGAAAACACACAAAATGTGAGTTTAACAGGTGAGAATTTACCAAAAGAATTATTAGACGAAATCAAAACCGGAAACGTAGAAAAAATTGTTCAGATACTTCTGACAGACAAAAACATAGCAAGATATATAATAAAATACAAACCAAACGGCAATAGATCAGAGAAAAAAAGGCGATTGGTTTGCAGTTGTAACTATCAACCTTGATACAAATAAGCAAAAAAAGTCTTCCAGTAAACATGGAAATTGAAGAAACCACCACTGTCGAGAACAATGATTGCGACTTTGTAGACATTGGTGGTGCCCAAAAAGTTTTCATCTCACGAAAACAGATCTTGGAAATTTTGTAACTCTGTTTCTCTTCCGTCTGCAGAAGTTGTCTTTTTCACACAAGTCTGTTTCATTTTCATTTTGCTCTCTTTATCTATTTCAAAATTGTCTTTTTACAATCTTAATTGTGACGAGACTGCCATTTGACTTTCAATATTATCCAGTACAGTTGGTTACATGTTACCCAATCCCAAGTTATAATAATGAATAAGATCATTTCAACAAAAGATCGTCTGTTTATGTCCGTTTCAGGTCCCTCGAGATCTGGCAAAACTGATTTAATTTTTCAAATGCTTCTCAAAGGTACATTCTATCCATCGTATAACAAGATATTTTATTTTTATCTTCACGATCAACCCAAATACCGTTCCTTTGTTTCTCACAACAAATTTGATATTGAATTTATAAAATTGTCCAGCTTTGAAATTGTTAATAACTTACGGGATTGTATGATTGTCTTTGATGATACCTGTGAAGAAATTTTTAATGAAAACGATTTCGTTAAATTAGCTACAGCAGGTCGACATAAAAATGTTCATGTTATTTATGTCAAGCACAATTTATTTCAGCAAAGTAAGCAATCACGTACAATAGATTTGAATACAACTCACTTAATTTTCTTCAAATCACCTCGAGACATTCAACAAATTGATTATTTAGGCAGACAGTTGAATAATGCAAAATTCCTCCGTCATGCGTATCAGTTGGCAACGAAAGAAGATTTCGGTCATCTGTTGATCGACTTGGATCCCAAAACTTCAGAATGTCTTCGTTATTTGTGAAACATAGTTCCATCATCACCAACCATTTTCTATTTACCATCCTCAAAAGCAGTTATCATATCTCTTGAAAATGAAAGAGAAAGAATTATGTATATTGAAGCAAATGCTCAATAGTCGACATTGTCGATCAATTTTGACAGGAGCTGATTCAAATTTTATTAGATTTCTTTGCGGTTGTTTTGTGAATGTTTTTCTGGGACATGTTCCAGCTAACAAAAGTTCCATCGAGTGTAAGAAAATACCATTTGGAAAAATTGTTGACCCCAAGTTTAGTATCCGGGAAAAACGATTAGTTTAGTATCCGAGAATATTTCACTGGTTAAATCAATCGGAGAATCGTGTTACATATACCTGAAAAACTAGAACCTTACGCATGTATGCTGAAGAATTCATCCTCATTCCTCGAAAAACATATGCTCCAGATAAAAAAACTGCACCACAATCTCAAATCCTTCATAATCCATTAATTAACGACAAATCATCTCAACTCAATTACATACAACGATTTCGAGAACGAAATATCAGCCGTGACTCTCCACCACCATTAAACCCAACATCTCCTATTCTTTTAACCCCTAGTAATATAGTACCAAATCTTCGAAAAAGAAATTTATCTGCACTTACTAATTTCAGTGATGATGGTGATGATGAAGCAGAAAAAATTTTGAATCATACAATTCAATGCAGCAGACAAGCTCAAAGAGAACAGAAAAAAAACGATGAAAAAATTAATGGAAAAACCGCTGAAGTGTTTCGAAAGGTTATGGAATCCATTCAAGAGCTATTGGAAGCTAATAAACTGGAAAGGGCAAGGATAGTGCTAAAGCAGTTGTTCAAAGTTGAATCCTTGACTTTAGACGTTGACGGATATGTTCTAATTCAAGGAAAACCAACACTTGTTAAAATTGAATCCTTTTTGTACGATACACAGCAAAACACAAAAAAACTTGAGGGTGTTTTTTATCCACAAATTTTGAAAGAACTGAATCTTGATCCTAGCTTAGTGTCCAACACTTATGCAAAACAGATTCTCCGCTCGCTTAAGAGCGAAGCAGCTAAGCCCTCAACTTCTTCCTCCTTTGTGTCCGACAACCCGACAACTGAGGACTCGAAGAGATCAAAACCCTCCTCTTCGAAGACTCGATCGACAACTCTCAAACCCAAAACCAAGCAATCCGACAAAAGAAAAACCCAGAAAAAAGAATTTTTCCCCACCACCAAC